TTGGCGTACGTGCTCGTTTTTATCAAATCAGCGATGTCTCGGTCGCGACAATTTTGTGGGTAACCAGAAAATATCACAAAAATTCATGGGAACAAATTTAGATGCGGAAAAATTTCGCAGGAGCGGCAAATATAAAGAAATTTTGTTTGCCATACACTTTGATTATATGAAAATATATAATTATTAGTATGTAAGATTGCGGTGTAGTCATGCTTCTGGGTAAGCAGTTGCAGTCGTAGGGCTTTATCTAATTCCTACTCTTGTGTTCTCGCTGCTTATTTTGGAAACTTCATCAATTCTTGTGTAAGAGGCGGTTGTCAACCTGCGTGGAGCTTAGAGTCATGACTAAAAGATAGGGAGCTTCAGCTGAACCACAGCGTCTGCTCACCAGAGCTACATACTGCTGCGAGCGGGCGTCGGATTTGAAACAAGCGGCATGCTATATAAATGTGACCAAAACTTTACAGTACGCCCTTAGCAAGGTTGTGGCCGACATTGGTAATGTTCGAAAATTTTACGAAAAGATGCGGCGATTAACGGAAGGTTTCAAGACCATAGCATACTATCGTAGAGCCCAAAGTGGTGATCTAGTGGCTGATGTTCAAAACATACTAAAGTTATGAAAGGAGCACATCTCCAGCCTGCTCAACTGCAGTGAAAGTTTAATATCTCGAGATGACGAACCAGATTCCCCAATCGATGACGATAAAATAGATGTTCCATTTCCCGACTATAATGAGGTTTGAACAGCAATTACCAACGTGAATAACAAGAAAGCGGTAGGGACCGATAAATTATCGGTCGAGCCAGTCAAATACAGTGGCGAAGAGCGAACAAGGTGCATGAAACGTAAAGTCGGATCAGCCTTCTTAATATCGCATATAAGATTTTATAGAGAGAAGTATGTGAACGACTCAAACCCAACGTCAACAAACTGATTTGACCTTATCAGTATGATTTTAGATCTGGGAAATCCAGCATCGACCGAAGATCAACAGATCTTAAGGCTGCTTTCAATAACATGAAAAGAAGCTGCCTTTTTATCGCTATATCTGAATTTGGTATCCCCTCAAAACTAATACGGCTGCGTAAGCTGACATTGAGCAATAACAAAGGCTCCGTCAGGAACCTCTACGCGACGTTCGATACCAAGCGAGATTTTAGACAGGGAGCCTTCTTATGGTGTGACTTTTTCAATCCATTGCGGGAGAAAATAATACGATCTGCAGAGCTAAATAGAGGTTTTCCTCAACTACCGCACCGTTAGTACTGCTTCCTCCAGACTGGATAAGGAAGCGAAATGTATGGGTCTGGTTGTGAACAAGGACAAGACAAAATATCTTCAGCCATCAAACAAACAGTCATAGCACTCGCGACTTGGCAACCACGTCACTGTTGACAGTCACAGCTTCAAAATCGTAGATAAATTCGTCTATCTTGGAACCAGCATTAACACCAATAACAAAGTCAGCCTCGAAATCCAACGCAGAATAACTCTTGCCAACAGGTGCTACTGCGGACTGAGTAGGCAATTGACAAGTAAAGTCGTCGTCGAACAAAGACTAAACGCTACAACGTCATCACCTAATGAGTCGACCTTAATAGTATTCGTGGAAGGTTCATGACTCTTTAAGCATTGGCAACGGCGAATGCCGCAGTCGATGGAACGATGAGCTGCGGTGGGTAGATCTTGTTGTCCGGATGAAAGACAACAGTCCAGATTTGAAGGTTTCGATTCAGTACCCGGCGTTGGAAGCAAAGAAAGAGGAAGACCTTCAATCCGTTGAAGAGATCAGGTCGACAAGAAGGACCTAGCGGCACTTGCTATCTTGAGTTAACGCCAAATAACGAAAAGAAGAGACCACTAGCGCGCTGTTGTTAACTCGGTTATGATCGGTTATTTTAAGAAATTTCCAGCTATCTGCTTAGATTGTCAACAAATTTGAAGGAAACGCCTAGTGGTCTGTGGTATATTTGAGGAGTCTTTAGAAAAAGTTTGAGTTCAAAAAATTTCCATTATATCATTTTGTCATTTTAGTGGTCAAACTTTTAGTTTTCAGTTTTAAGAACCCAAAATTAACAAGAAACATCCTCTTTCATCATAGTTGCAACCTAAGTATTATTCCTGTTAAAACGGCATTAGCATCAGCTTTGCAACTATATTTAATGCTTTTATATAATGTAAGCGCTTTAAATGCATTTGCCAGCGACTATCTGCTCATATAGATGGGATAATGCATAATGCAAGTTGACGACACGTGGGCAATTTCATATGCCAGCAATGAGCCACTTGTGTACTGCTGGAGCTTCAGCCAGGACCAACTGTTAATTTCGTGTATTGATAACAAACTTTGTTCGGGTCTCCAGTGCCTGCGCTTAGGCTGATATTGAACGCAACAACAACGAAAGCAACAAGACAACGGCTATGTGTGTATGTGTTGTGAGCGCAAAACAACAATTGCTGCATCGTGGTCGTACTTCAAATCCCTAGCCACGATCCTTACCGACACAATGCATATTGCTTCGGTTGCAACGATCTTAGGTTTCGTTGACTTCATATGCAGTCATTGCAAGCTTCGAAAAATTATGTGGAAATTGCATGCAAAAAGGCGAATTCAGCGTTTCAATGGTGGCCACCCGACTTATCTTGGGCAAGTAGATAGAAGCCTACATTGACATTGCCTCATCTTTTCCGGTATATGTAATCGGTTGCTGTATGAATGACGAAAAGCTCAGCTAACGCGGAAAAATCACAATTCATGCACGAACAAAGCATGATACTTCGATAGATCCAGTTATTTCGCATTTGGCAGGCTTCATTTTCAATTCAACGTTCACCATTGGCCATTCACCATTGGCCATTCGATTTGTTTGCAGCATCATTAACACGTTAAGTCGCTCGAAAACGCAAACACACACGTCTACACCATGTATCCATGGACTGCAGTTGCACGACTGCTTGCTGCCTTTCAACAAAACATTCACCCTTGCCGCTTCGTATGCATACATTCAACGATGTTCTTGTTATTGTGCATCAACTCTTTTGCTCAATTACGGCGCCATGAAACTGTTGAGTTCTCGCCAGAAATGTGTCTGCGATAATTGCTATTTGCGGAAGGTTGTTGCAAGCCCTTTTAATCAACGACTGCAACAAGAGGTTTCAAGGTTGGCACTTTTTTGGCTCCGCAAGCAACATAAATTTGATCACTCAGGGAGTTCAAAACAGACTTAAAATGCACTTGCAGATCTTCTGAATGGAACGCGAACCACCCAAGTCATTCTTGTAAAACTGTAAGCTGTAACAGTTTATACTTCCAGTTGTCCGGATTTGATTCCGACAAGCTGTAAAAGTCTAACCACCTTAAGCCATTACGAGCTAATTCAGGGTTTCGGATTTCTTAAAACTATATTAAATGACTTCGATGACAATATCTTTAAAATAGACATAATTAGGTACTTACTCAGATCTCAGATCTGCAAATACCGACAAATTTTAAAAGGAGATACTTTCTTAGAAAGGTGCTATCAAACCTCCGTTCTGACAGGAGAAATATTCCCTCATCTATCATCATTTACGCGGAAGAGACTTAAACTTGTATGATGTTAATAAATTTCAACTATTTTCATCTCAAAATGATCTTCAAATAAATTGTTTATTAATTTATCCGATTGTTGTTAAGACGACATTATCTTCTATTTAACCGGCAGTGATGGACGCGTCAAGGACAGCGTTGTGAAATAAATTTTTTTTTCTTCTATATCCTAGTTTTAGAATTAATTATAGAGCTAATATATCATTTTTAGTTTTTTGCAATCCTTCGTCAAATATACGCTTGAAGTTTGAGTGATAAGTAGAAGACCTCTTTACCGTTCTGCATACTGTAACAGGTTACAGGTTAAACTCCTACTTATCCAGAATCGACCCCGACTTATCAAATATGTGTCCGCATATCTCTAACGAGCTTTTTACACGCCCATCTCGAAAAATCACGTTTCCTCGGCCCAACGTTGGATGATCTCGATGGCAAGTTATCTGAACCTTACCACCCTAACGAGGATTTCCGTTACCCTCTACTTTTCCTGACAACTAAATGTCAAGCTTTTCCATTGGGTTCAAGAGTAGATCATAGAACAATACAATTGCCTTCAAAATATCCAAATTATCGGCAGTTCATTATTTCCTTGACCGACATGCCATTTCTTGAAATCTCATTTAACTCAATAATGTACTCAAAGTATAACATGAACCTGACTAGAGGCTCGCAACATTAAAGCAACTAGCATTTCATTATAGACTGTGCATTGCTAAAATTATAATTTGCTACCGGTACCGGCTCATTCCAATCTTCCCTTGATTGTCGAACAAACACTGCAGACGTATCTTCATCTTCTCCAGCTGTTGCTGATTGTAAATTTTAAAATCCTAATCACTTTGCAAAGCACAAATTGAAAACCAACTTGTTCGATGTCGATTGCCGTGTCGTGTTGTTGCTGTTGTTGACGATATTGTACATTGTATTTGCCCATATTATTATTGACTGCAACCACTGGTTGACAAGCTCAACGATTTCATAAGTGATTGCATAATTAAAATGACAATCTCACAGAAGAAATAAGCAGGTTCATGCATACTCACACACAAATACAACACACAAGTGCATAAAGCTCGTTATAACGGTAGGGTAGGGAGGAAACCGAGGCACAAATTAAAAATGCAGCACTACAACGACTCACTCATCAACAGCAGAACAGGGCAGAGCGATGCTGTGGAGTACAAGCGGGGCGACATGGCACAATGGAGCGCAATAGCAAATTGTAGTGGTGTCGTTTTTAATTAATTCCCACAAGGAATTCCCAAGGATGCTTCAATATGCAAGTTGCAAGCACGCCAAAGGCGAAAGCGTTGAACAACAACAACAGCAGCAACGAACCAACTTGTTTACGTTCCACTAAATTTGGAAGTGAAATTTTGAAAAATACTTTAATGCACGTAAGCTCACCTTCTCCTCCTCCGGTGTCGCCGACGACGAATCCACCTTAGCCATGCAGGCTGCCGAGCCACCCGTGCAACCCAAGCCGAATTTCGGCACCAACGGACGGCAGACATTGAGGAAAAACTGAAAAGCAAGAACAAATGTGTAAATATGTTTGCAGATAGTTACTAAAAATTTGTTGGAATGAAAATGAAATGTTCAACTGCGCTGGTGTGTGATGGTGTGGTGATGGTTGATGTTTGGATTTGTGCAGACATTATTTGACAATGAACTTCTGCAGCAGCCGCGTCAACTACGAGCACACCCACAGTGGCACAGTCAAAGTGTTCGATGGTCGGTCTCACCTTGGTCGATTTAGGCACTTGTTGTTCCGTTATCGATGCGTTATTAATTTCGGCTTCATAGTTATCCGTTGTACTAATCAATGGCGTCAAATCGACCACCTCCTCGCCGGTGCCGTCCTCCGAATGCTCAACATAGACTTTGACTTTGCAGGCAATCTGCTCATGACAAGCCAATGGTGTTTGAAAGTGAATTAGTAGTTGGCAATTTTTATTTTCGATTATTTTCGGACCCAATGCATTACTGGTGTTGCTGGCACAGACAAACTCAATTCTCGTTGACCACTTGTTTTGGCCATCACAGAGTGCTCCATCGGTGTACAGCAAATACGGTGAGCCGGACCGATCGGAACGTAGTTGAGAATTTTTTTGGCCCAAACTGGTGGTCTGTTGGTTCTCGATGAGGCAGGAGCCTAACAGGGGATGAAATAATGAGAATTTAACATTTGAAGAAATTAATAACTATTTATTAAACTAATTAAAAATACGTTTTTCTACGGCTGGGAGACTCTTCGAATTTTCAATGATGGACTATAAAATTAATGCTCTCAGAAATTAACAAAAATGTATGGGATTTTAAGTATTTGGGTAAATTGAGAAAATTTGTAGAGCAAAAATATTTCTTTGGCATACCAACTAGGAAAGTTTTCTTCAGTTTTTATTACAATTTTGCTAACTTTTCGTCAATAGTTTCAAAGCCTCATAACTCGACCGCCAGTTAGGGAGATATAAAGTTTTAGCTTTGTGGTCTTAAAAAATTTGGAATATAGGACTGATTTTTCTATTTTACGAGGCTGTGAACAGTAATTAGAAGGTCTCTCCTTTTTTTTTTTTTTGTTCAAACGAATCTTTCACATCTTTGCAGCAAACTCCATATGGGATTCTCTACCACTCTCTCACTATAATTGAGCTCTCTCATTGAAAATTTAAATATGAAAGCAAAATACTTCCGACGAAGTCAATACAAGAGACCGGAAAACATCCCTGATGATCTATAAACCCTTGCCCTTATAAAAATATCTGTATTTTGTTATACGAGTGGTTTATTCGATTCACCATTCGCCAAGTTTGATTTTATACCATTTGTTTATTCGATTCACCACTATCTAAGTTTTGAGAAATCTATACAATCGCGTCTTCCATTATTCTGTCTCTTTCTGCTCACTATGTTATCGCTTTCCTCTCTCGTCGAAAAATTTAAATATGAAACCGCAAAACAAAATGTATACCAGTTTTTGTACCAGTTGTTCATTCGAATCACAACTCTCAAAGTTTTGATAAATCCATAAAGCTAAAGCTTTGATTCATACGCAAAACAAAATTTATACCACTTTTATACCAGTGGTTTATTCGATTCCCTCTCCAAATTTGATTTCAAACCATTTGTTTATTCGATTCTCAAGTCACAGAGTTTTGATAAAGCCATACAGCTAAAGCTTTAATTCATATGCACGGACATTTCAGAGTACAGTCGCTTGTAACGAAAGTTGGTACTTGTCGATTCCCGCCAAGAATTTTACATATAAATAAACGATTCTAAAGTTGCAAGAACAAACGTAACTCTTTATTAAATTCCTTGTAAAATATGTCACCATATATGGTGTGCTAAAATTTAGCACACGAGTTACCCAGCAAATTTTACTTCGTTTTTATGCCCGTTGCCAGCATGTATGTAGCCAAACACACAATAGGCATACATCAAAACCCAGCTTCATGCGCCTGGCTGTCATCCACGTAATACCTCCCAACAGTCGCCAGCACAGACAACACTCAATTTATTTCAATTGCTTGATTTTGATTGAGTGTTGGCAGTCTGGCCGACACCAACTGCTGGTTAAGCCACCCATCCGTATCACATCCCCTCAGCAGCAAGCTCAATTCACGCAGCACCGCGCTTGAAATGCGTCACTTCTCCACAAACTTACAAGCACTCGTAGGAGTATAAACCACGCTGGAAGAAATCAAAAAATGTCCCGTTCCAATTGCAGAAAATCTTTTCACTTGCAGACATTACCATATATAGAGTAGGGGAAGTGTACCAGCGGATTTCTCTATTGGGTAACGATTGCATGCAAAGGCGACTAAATCAATTCGAGTGATGTTGCGGAATCGAAAAGAAATTGACTGTCAACTAAATTGATAAATGACAATGTGGATTTGTTAGATTTAGAGAGCGGCTCATGGCGAGGCTTGTTATGATGGCTGCAGCGACGGTGTGCAGCGCTTTGGGGGTCGTTCGACTGAAAGGCTGCCTAGATGGCTAGCTTGTCGATTTAGGGTGAAACTGATGGCTGTGGGTATTTGAACGGTGCGAATGTGGCAAGTATAGTTTGCAACGCCGCACTCAAACAGTAAAAAGTTTAATTGAATTCGTTTTCCATGTAATGGAGTTGGCTACGCCGGATATGGTAATGAAATTGAATTTAAGTAATGCCAAAAAAATTTTGGATTTATTTGGATTTGCCAGATACCACTTTTATACACAGACGACATATTGCTTGGAGTATAATAGTTTTCTTTAGCTAACGGTTGATTTATGTATTTCAAATAATCGGGATTATGAAACGAGGAAACTAATATATCTTGTTGAAACTTGGTACACCTTTCCCTTGGCATTCTAAGGAGATCAGTTCGCCTTGGTAAGGAAGTGGTTTGCATATAGTGAAAACCGAAAGACTGTCTTGCTCACAAAAAGCGTTTAAACAAAAAAAAATGTATATGGGTGAAATCAGATAGTGCAATGGTGTCAAAAATTGATAAAATCGGTTAACCAATTCCCCTAGGCTCCATCTCCCATAATTCTGGCCTCTTTTTACGAAGAGCTTGGTGACGCATAACAATCAAATAATATTTCTTGTTGACAGTTTCGATAATCAAAGCAAACTGTCTACATAACTTTGATTTTTGGCCAACTTTGACGTGGTTTTTTCGGCTTCGATTCACCTATTCGGCCGATTGATCGTCTGTTTCAGGGTCGTAAACATAGATCAAAGACTAATCGCCAGTAATAGGACGTTTCATGACATTCTGGTAGTCAGAAAACATTGTTTCACAGACGTTGACACAACACTGTTTTTCTAAAATATTGAGTGATTTTGGAACCAAATGATCTTTGAAAATGGTTTACATTGATACTTCCGATATTCCAACGATGCCAGTAAGTTATCTGACTGTTAACCAATTTCTTTAATTTATTGATGGGTTGATCATCAGTTGATGTTGGTGGCTGTCATGGACCTGGTTCGTCCTCAAAACGTTCTCGACCCTCGTCGAACAATTTGTACTAATCAAAAACACTTGCTGGCGACAAAGAATTATCCGCGAAGGTCTTTTCCAACATACTGAACATTTCGGCACCAAAAACTTTATTCCTCACACAAAATTTGATGGAATCTCTTTGTTGAATATTTTCACTCATCGTAAGAATCGCCAATTGCACCTTACGTACTTCAGAAAGACGACCTTATACTAAACACTACTGATTATTTTAATGTGACTTTTGACACAGATGTCACTGACAGTCATACCAATCCAAAAAAAAAAATATTTGGAAGAATGGATTTTCGCGCGAAACTTAAATGAAAAAGTCTTACTATTTTTAACCCACAGTGGTCAAATGTCCTTGCAGATTTTTGATGTTGAGCCCATGTCCCTAAAATGATGATTTCAGCCCCTCAAGTCTCATTTATCCAATATACAATATATGTATCTCAAGTAAAGCGACAATATTTTTTAATCCAAAAACTGACGTTCGGTAGTCAAAAATTCGATATCAAACTGCGAGTGTATGAAATCTTCGGTGGCACCCTAACTTATGAAAAATTTCATTTCTTATATGAAAATCGTGAATTTTGTCCTTCGATAAGAGTTTAATGAAGGATTAAAATCCTAAATTTACAATCATTCGTAAAAACAGCAAAAAAAAAAATTTATATACCCTCTTCATATTAAGGTTAGACAATAACAAAAGGCGTTTCCGAATATATATCTCTAGTATTGTAAACAACTTTTCCTGCGACTTATAGTTTTTTTTTCAAAGAGAGATTTCGAGAACTCCAAACACAAACTCTTTTTGTGTACTTCAATTGATATTATTTAGGACAAAAAACCATATGGCGAACAAAACTCGGAAAAACTCGGAAGCTGAAAGTATATTAAGTGACAAGTATTTACAGTTACGTTACTACGTTCCTAGAAATTCCCAAAACTGAGGGAAAATTGCTAAAATACCTTTTAGCCGCACAGGTAGACGGCGATTTAAAAAGGCTGAATTTCCCGCGGATCAACCCGAACATGCATACACATCTACAGAACATAACTTTTACCTGTATAACGGCAAGATCGCTAGAAAAGTATAAAAACAACAACGCAGCAAAATCTAAAAAAAAGTATAAAAGCGGAGAGTAAAATATATTCAAGTCAGTTGAAAAACTATTTGTATTAATAGCGCTACTATCTACGCAGAGACTTGCGAACTTCACACAATACGCAGAAAAATACGGAACTGATCCAGTATTATGAACAATTTCAAAATGTTTCAGTGTTTTTACATAAGACTGCTACTGCTTATTTTTGGCACGCAGTTGCCCCGGATCGACGCAGTTTTCACGCCAGAGAACTGTAAAACGCTAAGCGCCGACACGAACTGTCAGTGCACAACAGAACTTGCGCATTCCGAGATCGAGTGCGCATCAGCCGAGACGAATGGCAAATTTAACCTACGCATCGGACCAGGAAAGAATGTGAAGATCGAATGTGAGGACATTGCACCCGAAGACTATGAGATCTTGCCAAAGTTGAAAATTGGTTACACCAAAATCGTGCAAATCAAACAATGTCCACTGCCAAATGATGAACAGCCGATAGCCAAATTGTTTATGCAACTAGGCGTCGAAAGAGTGAATTATTTCGCATATGCAATCGACGAATCCAGCGGTAATGTTACACAACAGCATTTAAGCGGTCTGGAGAAATTGCAGCATTTGAGATTGAGCGTGAGATCACAAAAATGTTTGCCGAGCAATCTCTTCCAGAACCTAAAAAGCCTCGCATGGCTGGATTTGCGCTCAAACAATTTGACGCTGAGCGAAAGCTTGCTGGAACCACTGCCGAATTTGACTTATCTGGATTTGGGACACAACTTTTTGGAGCATTTACCCGCAGGTGTATTTAAGAATCAGCAGAAGTTGCAACATTTAAATTTGTGGAGCAATCGTCTGCGCACACTAACCAAGGAAGCGTTCCGTGGTGCGGAGCAGCTGGTGCTTTTGGATCTCAGTTCGAACGAAATCGAAAGCTTTGAGCATGATGTTTTCTCGTTACTCGGCAGTTTGCGGAGCGTGGATCTAAATATGAATAAAATTCGTAAACTGCCCAGTGGACTATTTGCACAGAACAAGTACCTTACGGAATT